GACCTAGAACATTCAAAGATATTCTTTCTTTTTATATGTCCATAAATTTATCTAGGTTAATTATATTTCTTGTCTGTTCAAGTGTAATTCTTGTGTAATTATTGGTATTATTTCACTTCTTCTTTCAATTTCGCTTCAATTTATTGATCTGGCTCGGCAACATGACTGCTATTTTCTTATTCTTCTTCTTCATCCTGAATTTCTCTTATTATTATACCTATGTTTTCATATATGTCTTATATTTCCTCTATTTTTTTCTCAGCCAGTTAATATTTCTCAATTTATTGTATTTATCAAACAATGAATATTATGAAGGGAACGTTATAAATGATTAAATGTAATTCTTAATTTTCATAAAGCGTACTCTGAATATGACAAATTTTCGAAAAAGGACCAAATTCAACAACAAATAATTTCTAATATGTATTTAAGTCTCCTCATAATTTTTCATGAAGTAATCAAAATTTATGTCAAATCAACCTGAGGAGAACTAATAAATGAGCGATAAATGAGATACAAGAGAATAGATTTTAGTTGAAGTAGATGATGTAGCTTAGGATTGCATATATATGGGATTTTAATTTCACTCCAAAGGTTGATGCATCTACTATATCTCAACATCGTCATGATCTCAATAATGGAATACCCAAGAATTTTAATTATAAAAGAAGATTCAATAAAATCTTCTATTTGCTTTAGTTGTAAATGTATAAAATCCTCACTACTTTATTTATTTACTTAAAATTTATAAATGCCAATTAATTTGATTATAATGTACTTTTCATTATAAGAATTCTACTATTTAAATAAATACAGAGTCTATGCTTTTAAAATGCAGTTGTTATAATGAATAACTAAATATTAGATTTATTGGAGTGTCATTTTTCAACTAGTGAATAATATTTTATATGGAATCAGTTCTAATTTAGTATTTTAACTTTGTAGAATTGGTTATTTAAAAATAAAAATTTAAGGCTTCCTATTTGCATTTAATCATGTCCTCAGATAGTTTATTTATCATTTTTCATTATTATTAAAATAACAAGATTATATAAATTAATTTATAATATATATTATAATGCTTGAATATTTTAATAAATGGAAGAAGATAGATGACCTTCCTCCAATTGCTGATGAAATTAATTTCCAAGAAAATCAAAATATTTAACTATGTCAATAAAATATGAATCAAGTAATTAAGTAATAAGGCTAGGAGGAAAACGAAAATAATTTAATATTTCTTGATCTAAAGGAGTTTGGAATTTAGGAATTACAAACAGAAGTCATAGAAATGTCTTAAATCATTGAAGAGTTCATGCAAAGGATATTCTAAAAATATTTGACATCTATAGATACCAATAATATTTATATGATAAATGAGGGAGGACTATTGGATAAAAAACACTAACTTAATTTTTATCATATTAAAAACAATTCAATCATTAAATTCATAAAAATGAAATAGACCTATCCTGAAAAATGGATTATCATTATTAAAACTTTGACTGGAAAAACCTTAACGTTAGAAATAAATAATAAAGATATGTCTATTGAATAGTTGAAGATGTTAATACAAAATAGAGAAGGTATACCACCCGATTAATAAAGATTGATATTTGAAGGGATACTCTTATAAGATGGAAAAATGCTATGGGAATATAACATAGGACCTGAAAGTACTCTGTATCTAACCTTACGTTTAAGAGGTGGTTGTTTTCCTGGAAATGCTCCAATAAAACTTTTTAATGGAAGAACAAAAATAATAAAAGAGATTGAATTAGGTGATATTGTTATGTGTTATGATTTTGAATAAAAATAGTTTAAGTCGTCAATAGTAGTTTTTAAGAAAATATCATCAGAAAAATAATAATTAATAGAAATTATAAGTGAGAATGGAAGTATTATTTGTACTCCTAATCATCCTATTTATACTTAAACAGGATGGAAAGCGTTAGAACCACATCCAAATTTTTTTATTGAGAAATTAACTGTTACTGATCTTATATTTGATTCTAATGAAAGATTAGTAAACATCCTCTAAATTAATTAACTAAAAGACACAGAAATTGTTTATAATATTACAACTTCATATCCAAATAACTTCATTGCTTTTGACTTCTTAGTACACAATATGAATAAAATATTCATTTAAATTAATGGGTTTAACGAAGAATTTGAAATACTACCTTATTTTTTAGTTTAAAATTTAAAAGTTATTATTGAAAAGAAAAAAGGAATACCTATGATTGATTAATAATTATATTATTAAGGAATACTAATGAAAGATCATTTTTCATTAGAAGATTATAAGCTATTACAAAATGGGACTGAACCAGATCTGTTAATATTAAAAGTAATAAAATAATCTTAGAAATTGTAATATGAAATTAATTAGAATACAAATAGTGAAACATGTGTTTCAATAATAACACATAATTCTTAATATCAATTATAAATTAAGAAGAATCAAAAAATAGGAAAGATAAAAAAAATATTAGAGTTTGTAGAATCTAGAGAATAAATAGAAAGATCATTTATATTATGTAATGGAAAACCTTTACGGTCTAAAAATATAGACGAAAATAAAACAGATCTAGCAAATGTTTAAAGTATTTTCTTAATTGATTAACAATCTGGAGGGATTTCTATGAGATTTACTTAAGAGATAAATGATCAGTAAGTTTAGACTGCATCTTAGCTAAAAGATTCTTTGTAGTGGTTAGGTAATCCATAAATTAATGAATTTATTTAAGCAAATCTAGAAGAGATTAATGGGAATTAATAAAAAAAATATTATTATCAATAAATCCCCCTTCCCTGTATGATTGCAGTTAGATTATATACGTGTGACTTAATCTATAGAAAATTAAATAATGATTTAAGAACATCTGATTATAGAAGATGGAAGTAATACTTAAGATATTTAATGGAAGGTTTTCGACTTATGAAATATTATAAAGGAGTTGCATATCGTGGAATTAAAGATTATTAAAATACTACACTATATAAAAAGGGAAAGATTGTTTAATGGAGTGAAGTTACCAGTGTTTCATTAAATTATAAAATTGCATAACATTTCAGTAATAATAAAGGAATGATATTTAATATTTAACTAATAAGTGGCAAAGATATATCCAAAATTTCAATTTATGAAGGAGAATAAGAATTAATAATGTATCCCTTTTCAACTTTTGTTGTTGATGAAGTTCAAATTAAACCAAATTAACCACATATTGTAACAATGAGAGAATTACCTTTACCTAGATCGCATTGTGTGTTATTATGGGTCGATGACAATCCCGAAAACAATTTTAACTATGCTTACGAAGTAGAAAGATAAAACAACAATATTTCAGTTATATTTTGTACATCCACAAAAGATGCTATACTAATAATCTCAAAATATAACTGGATGATATATTTATCGGAATCTTAATTTAGAGTTATTAGTGATATGGTAAGAATAGAAGATGGTAAACTGAATTATAATGCAGGGATAGAATTATTAATTCATTTATATTAAAAAATGAAATACAAAAATAGAACTATCATATTTTGTGGAGATCAAAAGAGAGCTTAGGAAGAGTGCAGAAGTAGAAATATACAAGGAAATTTTGAAATTACTAATAATGAACATGTTTTGAAATAGTTTCTTTAATTTAATTGATAAATTATAATCATTTATTATTATTAGGATAAAGAATAATCATTCAATATTAACTAATTAAGTTCGCTTTTTCTTAGAATAATTAAAATGTAGTTATGGCATTATATTATTATTAAATGGTTAAAGAATTTCTTCATTAAGTTCAAGATTGATACCTAAATTTAATATTTATATAAAATAATACAATACTATTCTGCTTTTATTTCTTTGCATATGAGAAGCAAATAATTCTTAATTTTAAGAGTGAATTAATTTAGTTTCCTAATATTAAAAGTTCCTTGTATTTTAATGATCTTCAATTAATTTTCCATAGATTCACCTTTAATAATGATTAATTCACTTGTTGAACTATCTAGAATACAAGCTAATAATAAATTAAATATTTTTGGAATTGTGTTTAAAAATATATCTGAGCCAACTAGTTAAATTTTTGATTTTGGATTACAAAAAGCTTAAATTTTAGATACAGATTTCTTTAAACTTAAAATTTTTGATATCATTTATTTATTCCACATTTAAGTAATTTTATCTTACAGTTATATCTTATTAGCTAAATTATGGAACTGATTATAATTAAAAGGTATATCTTCCTTTATTATTTTAATAAAAACAGTTAATAATTTTAGATATAATTGACTAACTTTATTGGCTTCCTAATTTTAAATATGTAATTTTGATTAACTGGTTTGAATTAGGATAGTTGGTTGATTTCCAAAAAAGATAGAAAAATCAACTTAAATTAATTATTTATCAAACTTAACATTTAATGAATCATTCACAATTTCCAAATATTTTTAAGAGAATTCTTATAATTTATAAAATAAACACTGTTCTAAGGAGATATTGTCTACTTTGGCTTCTCTTAAAAAATTCATGACCTCAACTTATGATTGAATGGTTGGTGAAAATGTTGATGTTATACTTTAAAATTACAATTTTTCAACTTGATAATTGATTAAGATAAACTTTTAATTGTGAAGAATCTATTTTAATATATTTTCCCATCTTTAATCCATTTTAGTTAACAGAAATTATGATCTTATTGCTTTATTATAAAAATAGACAATAATAATTAATGATAAATTAGCTCCAAAGCCCAATATTATTGTAGTGATGTCAATACTAGGACTGTTTTATACTAGATGAAGTATTCTAAGTGAGTACAATAAAATAATCGTCATTGTTGAATCTAAAAATTCAATTCCTAATATATTTATTATGTTAATGGCCATTTAATGTGCTCCTCTAAAATACATCGTTGGAGTATCTAAAAGTGGATCAAAGAAGATCACATAAATAGAAAAACAAATATTAATGTAAATAATTAATGCACGTTAGTGATATACGTTTTCGATATTAAAGAATTTTGAAAGAGCTGTGAAAGCTATCATTCCAAGTGAAGGGTAAATGACTGCATAATTTTACATTATTAGAGCAATAGTTAGCTTGATGGACTAAAGCACAGTAAAAAATAGTAAGAATATTTTTAAATGAGTTCTTCTTCTTGGAGATTAATGCTCAAGTTAGTATTTCTATTCAATTGATTGATCTAGAAATTTTAATGTTACCTTATGCATTCCTAATTATAAATATTTATTAAATTGTTCAATCAATTAGAAATTGTGAAATAAAATCAATTTAGTGATTTTAATTAAAATGATATATTCATTTTGATATAGCTATATATGATATTCACAAAAAGGTTTTTGTTTTTTGTATTTGTCTATTTTATTTTCATAAGTTAATCTAAGAATTTAATTATTTATTTTGCCTTAATTTCATCTAATGATTGTGAATAATTATATATAAATAATTTCGAAAACTTTTTAGTGTTTATTGAATATTTATTAGATTACATATTTCATAATAATTGAATTGACCAAATGAAAACATATTACACAATTAAGATGTCAACTTTATGTTAGGCCTTTAGGGAGCTAAATTACAGACAAGTAAGTGTATCATTTACCCTTCTATCATTTAAAAAAGTATCCACTTTTCCTTGCACTATGGATTTAATTTAATGAGAGATCAGCTTTCTTAATTTATGCAAGGTTCTCTTTTATTCAAAAGAATATGATAATTATTAAAGAATAACAATCTTGAGTGCTTTCTTCTCTATTTATCAAAATAATTTATCTAAATTATGATTACCCACCCATTTTATACAAATTATACCTAAATTTGAGACTATCTTGCATTCAGATTTACAAGCATAGTTCCAAATTCCAAAATTTTCTTTTAGGCTACACTAATTAGAAAATTTTACAAAATTAAAAAGTTGGAAACAGCCTCTTGATTTTGAATATATTTATTTTGGAAACAGCATCCAAAATACAGAAAAACCACAATTATAGTGAATCATAAATTAGATACTAAACAAAGCCCTTATAAAATTATATAAAAATTAATTTCATAAATTACATATTTTGGTCCTTTATATAAGTTCTTAACTTTATTGAAGATTAGGCTTATTCAATTCTTGCGAAGCATAGTCACAAAAAATAATATCTTTAAGGAAGAGGCGACCTAATTTTTAAACAGTTATTACCAGTATTTTTGATGAAATACTGTATTTGAATTAGATTTGCTTTTAGTTAATATTACTATAAATTTATATTCATTAAAAGCAGATAAAATAAAAGGTCTAATTAATTGTTTCTCTTTTGACTTCTTAAAATTTTCCTGTTTTTTTAACAACTGAATTACATTTGGATTAAAATGAATTTTGATTATTAAATAATAATTATAAAAAATATCGCCTTTCCAAACGAAACTAAACCTTAACTCAAATATTACATTAAACTAAGACTTGAAAGAGCCAGAGGCTTTCATAAGTAATATTTAGTTTTTAAATTCTTGTTTTCTTTTCTTATAATCATAAATAAAAAAGAAGAAAAGCACAATTTACTGAAGAGTAGAAAATGAAATTAGAATTAAGAACTGCAGATAAGTACTTAAAAGCTTATCAAAATTAAATCCTAAAGATACAGGACTAATGTAAAACCCGGAGCTATTTTGCATCTAAGTTAATATTAATTGGGGAAATAATATTAAGGATAAAATCAAATTAGTAATTAAATAGGATTAAAAATACAATAAAAGTATTTTAAGTAGGGATTAAAACTACATTTTCATAGTTAAGTATTTATAAATTCAAACATTAAAAGCCATAATTAAAAAAAAAGTAAACGATCTGTTTTTTCACAAAAATTATATTGAAATATAAAATTGCATAACGTTTCAGTAGTAATATAGGATTGGTATCTAAAGTTCAACTCATAGTTTCTTATTATTGTTTCCCTCTCAATTATAGTATGAAATTTATCTGAAATCTGATCCATTTACAAATTTTTATGCTTGAATCTTTTTTTGAAAATCACTCTAATTGTTAAGACCATTTATTAGAGTTAATGTAGGATTCCTGTTTGAATAGGTATCAAATACGTAATAATCTGTTATTATTGATATGCGTGTGACCATTTTTGTACTATATTAATCAAGAATGATAATAAAAGTAATAAATTCAACATCTGAATAATTAGTTATCATATATAACTATTTTCTAATTGGAAATAAAAGATAAAATGTTTAAATATTAACTACTTAATTAAATGAAGTAATATGAATAGTACTTGAAATGTTCATCAACAAGAAGTGCAAAAAAAAATACAGCGAAAGTTGGTTTCACACACCCAGAGCCATTCAACCAACATAAACACTTTAACTGATAATAAAATTTAATTAGAAACACATTAGAAACCTAAATGATAGATTAACCATGTACCTCCTTCAAAGAAGAGTTCAAAAAAATATCATCTAAAATTGGTAGTATTGTTACTCCTAGAAGTTATTTCCAATCTCCAATGCTATAAATTTATGAACATTAAGTTAAAGAATAGAAAACCAATGATATGCAGAATGAAAACACTTCTTTATAAGTAAGTTTTACTACAATCTCTAGTAAGAAATTGTAACTCTTCAACAGCAGATGCAAATTCAGAATGAATAAATTAAACATAAGGATATGGTTATTAAGAAATTAAACTTCACTATCTAATAGTATCAAAAAAATAAATATAAATTAAAATGCTAGAGAATGAGTTAGCTCATAAAACTAATTAGATTTAACAATTCTCTAAGGTATTTCATTTCAATGATACAGCTAATTTATAATTTCTATCTCTCTAACTGCCATTACATACAGTATCCAAAATGAAATTTGATTTGTTATTTCAAAATAAGGAATTGTTAAATTATTAAATCCTGTTCAATCCATGAGTCAAATCGTTGTACTTTGTTCGCGACACGAAGAACTTCCGATTGATCTCCTATTTAAATATAAATAATATGGATTGTTTGAAGAAGAATAGAAGATTAATGAGAAAGTAGAAGTCTTTGAATTGACCAAAGAAAATGGAAACTTGTTATCGAAAATATTGGATGATATCAAGAAACCTTTGAGAAGAATTCTTATCATCTCGTTGAAGGGTTTTAATTATTGAACAAACATTGAATAAATATATTTACATTAGTTTATGATTATAAAATATACATATATCCTTATTCATTCTTAAATCAGACTATCTGATTCCCATATATTTGAATAATCAATAAATAGAGTAGACTTATTAACACATTGCATACTTCCATATATTTCCAATCCCAAAAAATACATTAATATGGGATAGATTAAGGTTACACACAATCCTAATATGATATGTCCGACCACTATGATTACAAGGTATGATTCATATTATTGTGGTTCAAAGTACTCCATCCCATACTAAACTGAAAATACCATTAAGTAAAAGATCATGATTCTGATAAAGAGAGTCAATCTTGTTCTGAATTTAGACTGCACCTCATACAATCCTTCTTCATAGACTCCTCTGAAAATAACCAGTCCTAATTAATAGTTCTCTTTTGCTTACCCAACAATGCTCCTATGACAATAAAATATTAGCCATAGGAATGAGAAGTCGATCTCTAGAGGATGAATCCGGTTTCATCATTTAATTTTTCCAATCCATTCCTTACCCTACATTCCTAAACAGCATCCATAAATTTATAATATAAATCAGAATTCTATGCATAGTAATTGCGGGAGTAGAAATCAGCTGATAAAGATAGTGTTAAAAATGCTAAAAACAAAGTAGCTGTAAAGAAGGTTAATTTGTGACTAGAATATTTGATATGCTTATAAAGGAATCTTAATTGTATTGATAGAATAATTACTTCTTTAGGTATTAATGCACAACATTCAGGTAAATCATATACATGCATAATGTAAATATGATGCCATAAACTACTTATCCAATAGAATGCACTCCTAGAATTACTCTGGATGAACAAACTATGAAAGCTATGATTGTGTAGAGAATTGCTTTAAAAAGTGGCACCTTCATTTCTTCTTCATTCTCAAAACGGTCAGCCTTATAGAGGGATATCATATAAGAGACAATACAAATAGCATGACCTGAGGGTTTACCTAATTCTGCAATGCATTCTAAACTATAATAGAAGGGGAGATTACGTTTAAACATCTGTGTTGAACATATAGGGTCTGCCTTGATTATATACTTCTTTTAAAAACGCGTGTGTTCCTGTTAAAACACAACTGAATAAAATCAACAAAAGCACATCTAATTTCTTATTGAAACTCAGATATAGGTAGAGAAATATGATTTCGCATAGCAATAAAGAGGTACTCTTAATCAGATAGCTAAACTCAATAAACTAGGGATTCTTAATAGAAAAGATCAATTTGTAAGTGTATTAAAGTAATGTCTCATCGATGAAGAGATCCACTATTATGTAAATACCAAAAAGTATGATTCCTAGGATAGCGTTTTTCTTTGAATTAAATTTCATTAATTTTAATATATGCAAACATGTGAATATTCTAAAATAAGTTCAAACTCCACAGGAATGAATGTCACTCTTCGAGATTTATTAGATTAGCCAATTCACACCAAAACAGTCAAAGTAATTGAAGTGTTCATTAGTAAAACTTGTGCACATCATATAAGATGAGGGTGATTATGTGTATAATTGTTATAGTGCTCTTAATGTTTAAAATTAAGGAGAATTATTGGAACTTTATAATAGATGGCCTGGATAAATCGAGGAGGTGTATATAAAATAAAATGATTTGATTGGAATCGATAGTGTGCTCTACAATATTCGAAGTGATTTCAGGTAGGATCTACAGGTTGAATTGATTTAGTATGGAGTTTCTAATAAACGCACTTAGAACATAAGGATAAATATTATAAAAAATAAGGAAGAGCAAATTGCTGAATAAGTGGAGAATATTCCATTAGATCCTAAAATAATAATTGGACACAAAGAGAATGTGTTTAAAGTAGAGATGAATGATGGAAGAGTGAATGATATAAATTTTTTGGTTATGAAAAATCAATACCCTCATTTAGTAGTCTAATATTTAGAAAAATTGTGAATAGCTATTACCATTATTATATATGATGAATGCATTTATAAATAAAAATAATTATATCATAAAGGATGGAATTTCTATTAGATGTAGTAAGAGAAATATTGGGTTTTTATTATTTATTTGAAAATTTCATCCTCAGTTGAATTTAGTGTCTTCTCTTATATTTGATCTAGGTTGATTTCACCATCAACTTCCGGAATCAAAGAAAGTAAATTCACCTAAATGTAAGTTTTAGTATCCTCTAAGATTTTTAAACTCAAATTCAATGTTGCTTCATTGTTATCTGCTAAATAATGTCCTGGAACACTTTATTGACGTATTGATTAATAAGTTTGGAATAAATTATAAAATAAGGTAGTGTACATCTTACTCTCTGTTAGATTCTTAGCTAAATTAAAAAATCTGAGTTTGTTAGCATCAAAAAACAATACTTGAGGTTGTTCATCAAAAAATGTTTCATCATCATCAATACCCAGATTACGTAATCCATTATCGTGATCTTTGACAATCCCACAAATAATTGGAACTGGAGAATCAAGGATTGGCATTAATTAGGCAGTCAAAGCATGAATAGTAGGGTGTATATGTTAAAAGGGTTGAATCATGTGTGGTAAAATCATTCTATTGAATATCTACTATATTTACAATAATGAACTTAGTAAAGTGCGGTTTTAACTAATTATGCAGATATTTTACTCCAACATCATATTGATTAATAGTATTAAATAATGTGGTAATTCTATATGCGATAACGCATATGAGATTGCCCATTCGATTTCGTAATTTTGAACATTTGCACTATGAATGAGTTATGATTTTATTGGAGTTTGTAAAAATTAATAATTGCATTCACTTATAAACTTGGAGTTCTGTAATTCTGTTAAAAAATTAAATAGTTCAGGTTTGAATGACTATTATTGTTATAGAATTAATTTTTACTGTATAGAATGAATTATCAATATTTCCTAGAGTATCCTCAAATTCTGAAACCATTGAATAGATTTCTGCTTTTTTGTATTTTAATGTGTCTAGGTGTAAACAGCATAATTACTTATTATAATTTTGATGACTTCGATGAAGAAATCAATAATTGGAGCTTTAGTGATGAAACAATAGGTTTTGGAGAGTGAATAAAAGTATTTCTTTTGTAATTTTGAGTTATTGTTGGAAACATTGTAATCATAAAAGTCAGGAACATCAACACAGACACAATATAATTAATGGTGAATATTAGTAATTGAGATTAGATCACTGATATTATCTGTATTAATTTAAGTAGCATTATTAATAATTTTATTGTTATTAAATGTTTATTCTGATTTCATAGTAATTACATATGCTCCTGCTAATCTATCATAACTTTAACCGCCCATCAGAATTCTAAAATATATGTTAGATAATGTACGAATTCAAATTACTCATGGATAGAGTCTTCTCTTCTAATTTGACTTTTAATCCATATGGATGTATTTATTAAGGCAATAATATTAATTATTCCTTATAGCAAGATGTAGCAGATGAATGTTGAAATAATATCTCAGGTTTTAAGTTGACTTCCCTCTTTTCTAAAATATTACTAGTGAGCCCATTTAAAGTTTGTTTAGAGACACTAATAATGATAAATTCTTCAAATAATGAATATTATTATTGTTATTCCTATTACAATGATTATTTTTATGTTATTAATTATGATTCCATAGCAATAGGTTCCTAAAATAACTGCTATGAACTAAAATTTGATTCCTCTCCTTTACATTATTCCAATTTCTTCTTAGAGTATTTCTGTATTATCTAATCAACTTTAGATGCATTATCATAATTGTATTCCTGCACTTAAATTTCTTAGACCACAACTTAATGTAATTCATCCTCACTATATTTTCTAAGTTCTACCACCTCAGGACTGATGACTTCATCCTGTTCGTTATTACATTTCTTGGGACTCAAGTTATTCATATGCAAAGTTGTCTTCTTTGTCTCAAAGATTCTTTTCCCTAATTTTGATATACATTCAGACTACTTTATGGTTAAATTGTTTAGGCCACCTTCTTATATCGATCTAATGACACCGCACTATAGAATTCATCTTATTTCAAAGCTAACTTTGATTTTTAATATGAAATACTTGCAATTCAAATCGCAATTATCCATTTTCTTTTTTCAACTAGTCTATTTATTAATCTTTGTCTTTTAATTGTATTTGGTAATGTGATATTTCACGAACCAAATCGTAATTCTTTTAAACCAATCTTTCCTACTTATTAGAGTGTTGCTTACATTTTTGTCTTCTAACAACTTAATCTGCATTTTGTACTCATCCATATCCAATATCTAAGACACATATTATTTCGATTTCATAATTTATATATATTATATATATATACTTAATATTATATATTTATAATTTAACAGCTACAATGTTTGCATCCACTCCTAAAATTAAAACATATTAGTCATTACTCTAAAATTCTATCTAACATAAACCCATTCAATAACCAATTTTCGCAGAATTAACTCCCTCTACACCATAGAAGTTTAATATGTTGAAGAATGTGAAAGTGCTCAATGTCCCATCTCAACCAACTGAGAATAGTTTTAGATCCAGCAATGCTAAAAGAATATTAACACAAGATAGTCCATAAATAAATAAGGAGAATTCTAATTTTAGACTTGATTAATCCTCAAGCTAAATTGAAATTTAACTTAAACATTACATGTAAGAGAACAAAAAACTCAATGATTTGGTTTCCAAATTAACAAAAGAAAAACAAGAATTACTTGATTAAATTAATAATACAGATTTTAATGTCATCAAATAGAGAGTAGAAAGATTAGAATCTATCATTGATCATTAATCAGATGAAATTGAGGATTGGAAGAATAAATATAAAGATGTATGTTAAACTGATTAAACCACATCTATCATCCAAAATATGGTATCTCAATTTTATTATCTTAGGAAACATAAATAGCATCATTGCTTAAGGAAAATGAAAAGCTAAATAACAATAATTTAAGCGAAATTAAAAAAATTGGGAGTTTAGAATAGATTATCAAAGATCTAGAATACAAAGTGGCTGATTAAAACAATTAAATTATTGCCTATGAAGAAGAACGAATCATATACCACGAATAACCAAATAATACAATAAATTAAAATTTGTTAGAATATGTATAACTTATAGAAAAAGTATTATATATAAAATCATTGATAGAATATCACAGATATGTCTTAATATGAACAGGATAATCAATAGAAATATGAAAATTTGAGGGAAGAATTTAACAATCTCAATTCCAAAATGAATTAGATTAATTTTTAAACCAATAATGTAAATCAATTTGCTGAAATCTTAAAAGAATTGAGAAATAATATTAACAAATAGACCAAATGATAATTATTATATAACACTTACTTAGAAATCAAATTTAGTTAACATAAAGATTTATTGAATTCAATATATATAGAGGAAGCCTTTGATTACTTTATAAGTTCTTTGGTTTATTAGGGATATATCCTTCTAAGCTGTAAATGTTATAGAAGAAGTTCTTTATTATTTGGAGTATCTGCATATCCGTGGATTTTATTTTATTCAATTTATGTCTCTTTTATCCTATTTAATCTCAATAAATTTCTAATTACACAGACAATTGTGCTAAAATAGAAGCCCACCTCAAGAAAAATTATAATTGATTTAAAGTTGTCATACAGAGTTTTACTTCCTTTAAATTTGCCCCAATATTTAATCTTTAATTTTAAGCCCTTTGATTGATGTATTAAAAACAGAAGTTTGGTTTTATCCTTCTATTTCTCATAATCCTATTGATTTTGTGATTTTCTTACACAATTCTTGAATATATCATTTCTATTCTTCACTTTTTCAATACTCGACAAGAAAGTGTGAACTTATATAATCTTGTTCAATTTCATCAATTTTTGATTGTGTTTCTTTCACATGAATACTTTTTATTGCAGCCCAATGACTTGTTGCAATAATTCAAATTTGATAGATTTTTAGAAAGGTAAAGAACTATTAAAAATTAAGATAGATATACACAGAGGAATATTTATTAAAAAATAATTCCATAGTTCTCTAATTTTTCTAGGATTTTATCAAAATAGCTTAAAGATCTTTTATTTGGTGTTATAATAAAAATGATATAATAATACGACTAACTTTATCAATTATAATTTTGATCATAATAAAGTTCTCTTCTTTCTCTACGCTCCTATCTCTCTTGATTCTTATTTCAATATCTATTAACTCTCTGTTTAAGCTAAATATTCTGAGATTCATCATTAGACTCCTTTATATACTAAACTTATTATAATTTTATTGTATAATTCTCTTTGCTCTTTTTAGATTTAATCTAGCCAACTAATTGGATCGATAAGTAAATTTAATCATTAAATTTAGATAAATTGAGTTGCTCCACTTTTAAATTCATTCGGGGTAATCAAAATTTTATTTTTATCCTTTTATCTCCTTATTAATTATATAAAAATAATTTAATATAATCAAATAAACAATAGTTTAAGATCTTAGGAGGTTGGTGGCTTTTACAGAATTTTATCGGCACCAGCGCTAAGGCAATTTTGTTGAGTCTTCATATCATTAAAAGCAGTCAACATATAGATTTTAGTAGTTGGACTTATCCGTTTGATTTCATTAATGCATTATAACCCATTCATTCCTGGCATATTGAAATCTAAAAATACAACGTCATAACGCTGTTTCAAAACCATATCTATTGCTATTTGCCCTCCAAAAGCAGTATCTACCTTATAGATTCCTATTTTTGATAACTATATTTTTAATAACATATTATTAAACGACTCATCATCTACGATTAAGACTTATAATTTTTCTTTTTTATTAATTTTTTTATGGAATGGAGCAAGTTGGTTTGTACTAATCATATTCTTATATGGAGAATGCACTGATACATCATAATCTATGGAATCGACACTAAACTAATCTTATTATTAGTGATGCTATTATTTATCATAATTTTTATAAATGACGAATTAAAAAGTTGAACCAACTCCAACTTATGATTCTAGATAAATGTACTACAAAGGTCCTATGTACCCACACAGCTACTTGCAGATGATCAATCCCAAACCAACACCATTTCTAACTTTTTATACTAATACTCTACTTGTTTGTGTTGTTATCATCATCATAAGTGGCAAAGTTTCTGAAAAGCCGTCTTTAAATTTCTTGGGTGATTCCACTTCCGCTGTCATAAACTGTACATAGAATTAACCTTTATTGATTTCGAATTAGAGGATCAACATCAACTACTGATTTATTAATATTAATTTAATCCTTAACATTAATGCAAAATTTGCAAATATCCATAGGTTCATCAGAAAAGATAATGGATATTTTTCCTTTTGATGTGAATTTGATGGCATTTGATAGTAAATTAAAGAGGACTTACTTTATTCTCAATGGATCATTATTTAAAATTTAAGTAGATTTTAGTATAGAGACAATCTCTAGCTGTAGGTTCTTCTTTTGTGTTTATATACGAAATACATTTTTTACATCTTGAATCAATTATAAAATATCAAACTCACTAATGGCTAGCTTTAACTTCTATTATTTAATTTATGAGAAATCTTATAAATCATTAACAAAGGATTGTAGTATTTATACGTTTGTTTAGCACATCTCTAAATAGTTGCAACAAGATTGTATTTTCTCAAGTATTTCTGGGTTAGTTTTCATTTCAGACAATTCATATAAACTATCTTATACTAAAGTTATCATAGATTAAACAACACCTATTGGATTCTTCAAATCATGACTAACAGTAGCCAAAACACTGTCTTTATATTGATCTAGCTTTTCAAGCTAAGATATTTTGATTCTATCTGTTATTTCAATCAAAGACACTACAAAACTCTTTTAGTATTTCCAAATACATGGAGATACTAAAATATCATAAGTTTAATGATGATTATTATACATTAATCCCGTTAATTTTAACGGCAGACTTTCTTGAAGTTCTTTGTCTTAAGAGTTACTCATATATTAATAGAGAATGTAATTTAAAGACTAAGGATTGTCAATCATATTGATTTACTCTCCTGTTGCTTTTAAATTATTTAAAATGAGTTCTTGAGTTAAATTAACTTTTAAATTGCATAAAGAAATATTGGATTCATTACAATTGATAATCTAAATTTGATTAATTTTTTAGTAAATGCTTTCAATAGTAGCAAACTCCTTGTTACAAGCCTAATTGACAAATAGGACTTCAAATTAATCTTGCATATTTTAATCTGAATTCAACTTAATAACAAACAAGTTCTATTGTAGGCTATGGTTAAGCACTACCTCTTAATATGAAAGATCATGACTGAAATTAAATTTCTCAAAAAAACAGATCAATTTCCTTCTCTCTCTCAAATAAATACTAATGGATATTGCAAGAATAAATATCCATTCAAAAGGTAATAGGATCCAATCAAAAATATTATCAAAATACAAATAAGTAAATTACATTATTGTAAAGTAACATATTAGGTATTTCTTGTTGTTTAAACTTTGAGTAACATACATATAATATAATTACACATATCCGTTAATCATGAATTAATCAACATACAAACTTAAATAGATCAAAATTGTTACAACATGAATGATTTTCCAATAATCATTACATGTTGAGTTCCTTTAAATACTCCATATCTATAGCAGACTTGACAATGGAAAAACTATCAGGATTTATGATTCAACAGACTAATTGTCTTTAAATATTGCTGAAATAGTCAAAGCTAATTCCAAAAACATTTTAAAGGTTTCTATGAAAATCATTGGGCATTTATTTAACTTTTTCTGGAAAGTTTTAAAACTGTTCTGAACATCCTAATCTCGGAAGTTTAGAGTTGCATTCAAAAATGCATTTTCAGGTTAGAGATTTCTTGATATTTACAATAAATACTTCATCTGAGAGTGATTATATATTACTTAATTATAAATTATTTTTATTTCATGTAATACCATAACTTTGAAGATATATTTACGTAATGCTTATTTGTTCAATATTAATCAATTTGAACTCCAAAAAATTTATAAATTTCATCATCATTTCTATCAAATAAAAATGTTTGCTCTTTTTTTTGCTTCACTATTTTGCAGCATATCTTAACTTATTCTGGATAACGCCAGAAAGAGTCGATAATTTGGAGATTTGAATTTATCAGTTTAGAATTTTATAATGGGTAATCTTTTGAATCATATATTTTTTAATCAAATTATCTAAAACTTTGTAATAAGTTGATGATTATCGAAGCCTAATTTCAAAGGGGGTTGGGGTTTGGGTTTGGGGTTGGGGTTGGGGTTGGGGTTGGGTTTGGGTTTGGGTTTGGGTTTGGGGTTGGGTTTGGGGTTGGTTTC